CAACAACTACTACTACTACTCCTGCCACTACGACGAATACTACTAATGCTACCACTACGGTCACCACTTCTCCGGCCACCACGATTGCTACTGCTGCTACTACTTACTTTCACGACAGACGGCTGCTACTACTACTGCTACTGCTACTGCTACTGCTACTTCTACTACTAGCTGTTAACCACCACCATCACGATGATGACGACGGCTACTACTACCACGACGATTCCTGCTGTGATTTTGATCACTGTTTGAGATACTTTGTTGATTTCTTGATCCGGAACTTTCAATCTTTAGTATACTCTATACCCTCTGTGACTCCAGGAGATCTTAGACATTCATCCCAGGTTTCCGCTTTCTCAGATCCCTATTCGATTTGGTTTTGATCCCTTAGCCATCCTCGTTAGGCTGCATTTGGCAAAGACACGTTCTGCTGAGTCTCCATTTCACATTTGCGGCTGCTTTGACCTGTAGGTGATGCAGCAAAGAAAGTCACCACACTCATGCTGCGCAATGTCCCCAATGCGTATGAAGCTTGGTTTGGCAATTGGAATGTTTCCAAGCTCCAAAGTGCCGAGGGCCATGTGGTGCTCGAGTCAACATGTCGTCCTACCGTTCCGGAATTTTGCCTTTTTGGATGAGTGCGGCTTAGGATCGTGAAGCCCTAATGGCGGAATTGGCCAACCTCGGTTTCGAGGGAGCCTTGTCCGGGCAGTCTTCTGTGCTGCGCCGTGATGGTGGCATGCTGTCAGTGAACAGACAGCCCCAGACAGAGGGTTTCCGTCACCCCAGCGTCCAGGGACAGCATGCTGCTGTTGCAGGCGGATGCCACTGAGTGTTGCTGTGCCGCTGTGGCTTGAAAAGTTCCCCGCAAAGGATCCTTCGACTTCCTGTATTTGCCCATTGACACGTCCACGAAAAACAATGTCGGTTATGCCTTCGTAAATTTCTGCGATGAAGAGGCATGCATGAACTGCCCACTCCTCAGATGCTGCTGACAGCCGTTACGCTGTGAGAGCTTGGCAGTTGGATGTACTCTATCGTACATGTGCGAGGGTGCCTATGCGGCTGCCACTGTTGTGTTCGTCTGCGCAAGAGCTCAGGTATGAATGCTCTGCGTGGCTACTTCTTCAAAGGGTGGCCGGTCCACGACAACTGTTTTTTTGGTATTCCTTAGTAGACACCCTGTGTGTTTGTCAGCGCCATGCTGTGCATGGCACACTCCTTATGCCCTTGGCATAAGGCAGCCCTACAACCGGCGCAGACCCGCAATCGTTTCAGTCGCACATCTTCAGGGTCTGGATCCTTGGCTGCACTAGTCACTAGAATTTTGACATTCATGATTATGACCCTGTGTCAGCCTAAAGTATCATGCCGGCGAAGCCGCAGGGCTCGCCGACATGAATGTGGGGAGGGTCTGCGTGACTCGAGAGGGTCCCTCTGCACGATAGTCAGATCTCGGACATCAGACGACTTCAAAGAGCCGTGCTACTGTAGCCCATTTTGAAAGCTCTGGCCTCAGCCTCGGCCACGACAGGAAGCCAACCTCCAGCACTACAGTACCTGGGCTTTCCCTTGGTGGGAGGAGACGCCTCGAGAGCCTTTTCAGAGCTTCGTGACAGTGTTGTAACCGGTAACCCGATGCTCCCAGGTCGCACCCAGGTCTTCAATGCACGGCTGCCCTGTCAGCGTCCCTGGGTGGCGCGCGAGGCGGCCACAGCCCTAGCAGACTGCCACTGGGCTCCAGGCCAGGTGGGTGGTACAGACTTGCACGAGACTTCCCAGACACGGCGAAAAGCCCTGGCATGCCCTGCGCTGGCAGGCGGATTTGCCAAGTTGATGGAGGATGCTGCTGCCAGACCAGGTCCTGCGTACAAGGGATTGAATTCCTTGAAACTCGCGTACTGGCTGCTAGCCGCATGCCGCCGACACTCGGCGGTGTACTGCATCGCGCGAGCACAACACATCCAAGTGCAGTCTTTGTGAGAGAGCCATCTGCTGTGCGAAACATGCCCCAGCCGCGACCACAAGTCAACAAGTGTGCAAGACATGACATCGCGATCCGTGGAAGGCACGCAGCCAGACACGCAGTCCCTCATCCACCGACGGCGCGTGCGTGAACGGTGGATGCCCTTCAGCAGCAGATGCCCCGAGATCCGCCATGACGTTGCAGGTTTTGAATGCAAGACCATTCAGTGTCGAAAGCCAACTGTAGCGACATCTGAGGTTCCACAACTATGGGCTGGCAGCCCCTTGAAGACGAAAAGTATGGTAAGATCGGCGTTAGGCGTTCGTAGCAGAAGAGTAGCGACCATTGACAGGGTGCCAGAAGATGATATTGCTTCTGGACATGCCGTCAACCAACTGCCGTTGCGAAGTTTATTGCAGTTTTCCGTCGTTCCCTCCTGATTTCCGAATTCATAACCCTACCAAGGCTTATGACATGATGCCTGATGGGGGATTTGGTCCCGGAGATCAGCCATTGTACAGTAATGATACTCCGCGATACCACAATCCAGGCAGGTCTCGGTGTGTTCACATTTGTGAGTGCTGCCTACTGGCGTTCTTGCTGCGGGTGAAACACTTGTCAGGACAGGTTGTTCATGAAGGGATGAACGCCGACATGAATGCCCAAGCTCTGAAACAGGTTGAGGACAAAGAGCGACTTTGCGTTATTTAACGAGCACAGACGTGCATGATTTTTCAGCAGAAGAGTCTTTGGGTAATGTCATGGAGGGTAGGACTTCAGCACCAACAAGCTCGCGCACACTGGCAGATGCTCGTCTAAGCTTAGGTCGCAACTTGCCAACACTGACAAGCCAAGTGGTCCAGAGCAAAATCGCACTGCCGTCTCTGCAGCTGGGCATCTAGAAGAATCAGCGCCACTTCTTTTCGTTTAAATGTACACATGTGCGTGTTCATGCATTGGCACATGCCCTCACCTGCATGAGGTGTGCAGACGGGCACCAGCAAGACCTGTACCGTAGCTGTAGCCTTTGTACTGTAGCTGTAGCGTTGTGATGTTAGCATCCCACACACAAGGGGTTCCCGTCCGAATTGAAAAGGCGGAGCAAACTCAACAAAAACTCAAACACGGAAATGTACAAAACTCAGATAGAACTCACACAAAACTCGACGGAAACTCGGTAATGTTCACAGAACTCAGAATGAAACTCAGGAAAAATTCAGTACCCAATGAAAACTCCGAGAAAATTCAGAGAAAGTTCAATGACAATTCAATAACATCCCAACGCACTTTGAACCACTTTTGAGTTTATTATCAGTTTTGTTTTAGTTTTCTGTGAGTTTTTCTTCGAGTGCATTCTGGTCTGAGTGTTCGCAGCGTTTTTTTTTTCTCTGAGTTTCCTGGGAGTTTTCTTTGAGTCCTGTTTTGTAGCCGGGATTCGGGCTGAGTTTTTGGCTGAACACTGGTTCTTTCCGTGTTTTGAATAAATCCATGAAAATCCTTATGTGTGGGCGTGCTAACATCACAACTGTAGCGTCACGGAGTCGGGTTAGGTGTGCGGGATCTATCCAATCTATGCCTGTGCCGGAGCCATGAACAAACCGACATGCTTGCACTGCTCGTTATTCCTGGGCTTTGGTAGTGTCATTCATCGATGGGCTTGTCAAGCATTGCAATTTTGACAATTGAGTTGCCGTGCTCGATTACGTATTTGGTGCAACATGATGGAACTCCTGCCATGGCGAGGTACTCTCTCGCATGTTGAGGGGCGAGTCGGTCGACCACCATGACCTGCCCGAGGAAGATGAGATGGACTCGCATGGCTGCTCAGACGAGACTTTTGTTGGGCAGCGCCGTCTCCCAGTGATCTCGCTATCTTTGTTTCCAAGGAATGGATCTCCTTGTCCCTGAGATCATGCCAGTGATGTGCAGGGCTAAAGCACAGTCTCAGACTTAGTAAGAGTGACACTTCCGAAGAAGTCCTTTTTGACAGGCCAGGGGCTGGAAGTTTCGATGAGTGGTATGGCCCCTGGGCTGAACTGCATCTGACTCGTCGTCGGGTTTCCGGAAATCCTTTCGGCCGAAAGATGAAACAAAACCAGCGCATCTCCACCTGAAGCACCGGCTGTTAAACCTTGCGCTTCTCCTAGGCCGGAAGACGGGAACGGCCTGACTTCCGCTTGTCGTTTGCTTGTCCTAGGATGGCCCAGCCTGGTTTACAACTACGACTACGGCATGCCAGGGCCACCACAGCCAGGGCCAGTGCCGGAGGACCGAGTCTCAGAGTCTCGCGGCTGTTGGGGGCGGCGCTAGGGCCAGGGACTGCAAGCTTTAAGCGCATGGACTCTTGTAGCATTGACGGCTAATAACGTCCTTGTCTCATGCTTCTTGCTTTTCCCCCACAGAAGCTGCTACCGGTTGTTCTCGTGTGTATTCGAGAACCTCCGGCTCTTGAAGAAAGATGGTGTTTTTTTTTTTTGTGTTGCGGGGGTGTGGATAGTTTAGATATTAGGTTTTGGTTATGGGTGGATCCCTTTCGGGTTTAGTTCGAGCTGTAAGCACCGTGGAACTTTGCAAAAAGAGCTTCTGCATGCAGAAGGTACAACATGCGCCCGTGCCGTGGCCAGAGCACGATTTCTGGTACGAATTCGGGTTCAGCCTGGCTTCTAGTAGCCGCACAATAACTTGTAAGCTGGCTCCGAAATCACACAATGCAAACAGTGCAGTCGAACGCCGCACTGGGGCCAGAGCACGATTTTTGAGAACGAAATGCCCTTGACAAATTCAGTTCTCCGGACCACCCCGACAAAAGACACACTACGTCAATGCGGCGATGCGTTGTTTGCGAAACGACGTGTGCAAACGCACGGTCCCTTGCGGGTGCCTGCACCTTGTTTTTGACGGCCTTTTAGACTTTAGACCTTTTAGGCCGCTGGTCCGACGTCCAGAGCAGGAGGAGGGACGGTCTGTAATCTAGAATCTTATCTTGAGTCTCCGAAGCAACTAGTAACTAGTATAAGTGGTAGCTCGCAGGAAGTACAGGGAAGAGATGAAGCAGACACGGAGAAAACGACGGTTGCGGCTCGTCAGCAGTGCTCAGTTTAGCAGTTTGACATGGCACAGAAAGCCAGTCCAAGCGTGATTGCATGGATGTCTGCGCCTGGCAAAGGTCCTGACGAATGTTCCCCGCAGTTTTTCAGCCCAGAACGTTTTCGACGTGTTGAAGCGCTTGGAGGTCTACGATCCTCAGCTTGGACCTGTCGGTCCAGTTCCAATCGTTTGTTTCAAGACCAGCTGCAGTGCCACAAGCCGTTCTGCTGAGGTTGCTTCTAGCCATCAAAATTTACACATGAGCCGAACATAGCTAAGGAGTCTTGCAGAGCCGCTCGGCCGAACTCCTTCCGGTCCAGTTGGCGGCAAGCACCCACTTCCTCAGCTGCTAGTCATCGGTGTCACCGGGGTGGGGGCCTTCAAAACCATGGAGCTAAGGGCCTGTGCTTCTTAGACGCCGAAGCAGGATATGCAGGCCAACGGACCTCGGTGCTCCAGTTCAACTCCGTCGAGCAGGCAGAGATCGCAAAAAAGTCACTTGTAGACACTCGGCGAAGGCTTAGCTCCGGTTATTGCTGAAGGGCAGAAATTAAGATTCTGAGATGACAGTCCAACGGCCGGATGACTCAGGAGTCCACATGGGGTGGAGACAGGAAAGGAGAGAATGCCAAGATCCAGGTGGAGGATGGCACGACTTCACACATAAGCTATCTGAGAGGGTCATACTTGGGAGACGGATTTTGCTCCAAGAAGCCACTGAAACTTCGACTTGCTGTGCTTGATTCCATGTGAGGGTGTAACAATACCATGCCAGTGGCTATCTAAACCGGTGTTTAAACTGCGGATGAGGGAGCTTTTGGTATGATGTCTTTCAAACTTAAGAAGCCTGTCTGTCGGTTGTTTCACCCTTCAAGATCATTGACATGTTCAGGAGAGGGGTTCACGGCTTGTCACAGTGACTATGTTCCACTAGTCTCTGTCGATCATATGCAGAACTCAATTGTCTTGTGTACTCTCAGCTGGCAGCAGCTGAGCCGGCAAGCAAAACTTGCCTGCGATTTATGTTTTGTGGCTCCCGGATCCTTTGCCCGGCCGGCGTGTTTCCTCTCCAAGGTTTCTTTGCACCTCTGGCAGTTAGGAAATCAAGGAACTTCACGGGGCTCGACGGGCGAAAGGGAGACGGGAGCTAAAACTTCGAAGGCTCTAAGCGAAACCAAATCCACATACGACTTTGCAGCACAGCCCGGCTTGAGCCCTCGGAAGCTTCGGGAAGATAGCTGGCAAGACAGCGGTGCGTGCATTCTGTGTTTGGGTAATAGTACGGCCTTTCACGGTCAGCTTGCATCAGGACCTCCTCACCCACGATCTGGAGCAGTTTTCAGCAGGCGGCACTCGCGCCGCGAGCTCCTGGGAAGAAGAGGAATTGATGATGCCGGACTATGCGGACCCTTGGGATGCCCCATCGTCGTGGCTGACTGTGGGGCGGCCCCCTGATGTTTACGTGGCACCCAAGACCGGCATGGAGTTTCTGGGCCAGGAGAACGACACGGGCAATCTGAGTGCCCTCGACGGCGACAGGGAGGCAGACTGCTTTCCGGACGTCCCGGCCGTCCCGACTGGCATGGATGTGGGCTCCCCTTCAGCTCCCGCAGACGCAGACTCTTCCGCTTCACCTGAGATGAACCGACAGGATCAGTTCCTCGAGGAGTTTGACACGAGTTGGCCGAAGTTGCCAAGCAAGGCCAAAAAGTCCGCAGATGCTTTGGGCGCGTGCACGAAGCCATAAGGGATGCTTTCCCAGTCAAGGATGCTTTCCCGAGGCACATGAAAGCACCCCTGCTAACCCTAACATGTGCGGTCTGCAAGCAAATGGCATGAACGCAAGGAATGGGTGGACGCCGAGGTTTGTGGCATGTTCCCAAAAGGAGCATGGGTAAGGCAACTTGGTTACATCATGTTGCATATGTTGCATCCAACGGATCATCTGTTTGCTCGGTGCGTTGGCTGACTAAACACGAGAAATAATGACGTTTTGCTGCTTGATGTTTCCGTGACGGCAGTGTGAAAACAACCTGAAGCCATGACAGGCACAGAAGGAAACCCTGTGCCCAGGATGACCACGCCATCGACCAGAACCGACTTCCGCTGCCTGCTGCGCAAAGAGCACTTCACGGACGGCTTGGGTGTGAAACTGAAACTTTTTCATAACACGGGTCGTGCAGATGTCACCTGTGAGTTGGCTTTTGAGGCTTGGTTAGATGTTGCGTGTGATTGAATGGGTTTTTGAGTAGTGCATGTGCATCTGAACTCTGAACTCTGAGCTGCCCTGGCTTCCTTTGTGCACTTCAGTTCGTCGAAGAACATCCATGCACGTTTAAAGGAGCTGTTCAGCCTAGCTTTTCCGTGCTACGCACCCGTCCGGCCCGGCAACAGTCGTGGGGCTCTCGTGCAGCACTAGTTGATGCACCGAATCACACACTCCTGCGGAGGTGCGACTGGCTTGGGACTCCACGTCGCTCCTGCCGTGCACCCTGTAACAGTCGTTTACGATGTGCGAGACATGGCGGGTCAAGTGGGCTCTGTGCCGAACAGAACAGACAGTCATCCAGACGCCCGGCTGCTGCAGCACGCCGAAAGAACGTTCGCCTTTCCCCGGGCGAAGGTTTCAAAGCCGGAACCATGCAAACCGGATACCTGCAGCTCGTACCTTCAGCTCCTTGTTCCCGGCACAGCTTGCCACGCGGAACCGGAGCGTGTCTTGTTTTCCTGCGTCTTGACAAGGGCCCTAAGCAGACCGGTCGCCCAGCGCAAGCCGCGAAGAACCAGATTAGCAACACAGCTAGCAGCTAGCTCTCCCGTGTTAGCATCGCCAGCCAAGACACTTCCCGACAGTGCGGCTGGGAACACCTTCGCCAGCTGCTCAAGCCGCGTGCACCATTGAAACGTCTGGGGCTCATATGGGCGCTGTCGCTGTGTGTGTCACTCTGCGTGTGCGCGTGTGTTTGTGTGTGTTTGTTTGCTTGCTTGCTTGCTTGCTTGTTTGCTAGTTTGTTTGTTTGTTTGTTTGTTTGTGTGTGTGTGTGCCTGTGCGTGAGAAAGAATCTGGCCGCTAGTGGGGCTTACGTGCGCAAGAGAGCAAACCAATAACGCATCGGTGGTGAGGAGTCCTTCGTGGAGCAGAGCCATATCGGCATGAAAATCCAGGTGCGAGTGCTGGAGGTAAACCTTGCCCAGAAGCAGCTGTACCTCAGCATGTCCCGTGGCACCCGAAGCAGAGGTTTCGGTCAGCAAACGAAGGCTTAGGTCTTCACACATATGCATGCATCACACACGCACGTACACACACCTATGCATACATACATACATACACACACATTTTCAAACACACATAAATTCAATCATGTGCATTTGCATACATTCATATGCTGCCGCCCCAGTCACTAGCAGTTAAATGAAGGTTCCTTATATATTATCACACAGGCAGAAATGAGCACCAGGATTTGAAGTCCCAGTGGATTAAATCTATAGCAACCTTTAGCACCAGAAGCAGCACAATCATGAGCACAAAGTTTACCACCAGAAAAAGCACACTCATGAGCACAAAGTTTAGCGCCAGAAGAAGCACACAATCATGAGCACAAAATTTAGCACCATAAACAGCACAATCATGAGCACAACATTTAGCACCAGAAAATCGCGGTTTTGCTGGCTCTTTTGGCTGTGCATTTGTTTGTGGACCGGCGACATTTAAATACATGCACATATACACATTATACATTCACACATACATGTACATAAATACCGTGACAGACAGTATGTTGGCGTGCAGCCGTAACTATTCAACTATTTGTATGTGTTCAGATAGATAGATAGATAGATAGATAGATAGATGCAAGAGAGAGGTGGTTGGTTCTCAAGTGGATAGAGGCGTAGATAGATAGATAGATAGATAGATAGATAGATAGATACAGCGATAGATATATAGATGGATAGATAGAGGCGCGGATAGAATCTATCCTGGTTGCATGTGTCGTTGAGTAGTTGAGTGTTTACGGTTAAGCTTATATCCTCGTGATTTTCACTCCATGCGTGTGTGTATGTATGTAACATAATGCAATGTACTGTACTGTAAGGTTGCGGTACGGTTTGGTATGGTAGGCCGGGTGGGCTAGGGCAGGGTCTGGTGCGGCATTGTCTTGCATTGTATTGCATGTATGATTGCATGTATGTCTGCATGTCTGCATGTCTGCATGTATGTATGTATGTATGTATGTATGTATGTATGTAGGTATGTATGTACGTATGTATGTATATCTGGGCGTTTCAGGCTGGCTGTCTTCAGATTGCCTTCCACGTGGGTTTGACTTGTGGAGTTTTACTCGCTCTGGGGTTTCAGATTTTGGATGATGTTGGCATGTCATTTCGATTGGCAGCCGGTGATGGTCACCAACGACGGTAACCAACAGCTAGACGATTACGCTGATTACGCTTCATCTATTGAATTTCGCGGCCGTGACTACTGCAACATCAATGTTTTGCAGCTACTGGTGCAGTACAACCACCAGGACCTTATGGAGTCGGTCCAAAAGAATCACATGTGTCTATGTGCATGTACGCAGCAGGCGGGTACATTTGTGGGTAGAACTGCTCAGTAGGTCGAGTAGCTGCTCAGCAGGTCGTGGGATGCAAGCGTGCACGTCTTTGGCCTTTCCGCCCTTGTACCTGTTCCGCCCGTGCATGTCGTGTTGTGTGCATGATGCTACATCTTGGGCGCATGCGATGTGTTGATGTTTTCAGTCTTCGGTGCATCATGAATCAAGGCTTGAGCCACAGGACGTCCCGACTGAGCCATGAGGTCGCGGGCAGCGAAGCAATGCAACCGCTGAAGCCCAGACTCTGGCTTGCATAGCGACGCACCACCGGCCTCCCTTTTATGATTAATTATGCTTCGATGGCGTCGCTTTGAGCTTGCAGCGTGCCAGGCTCGTGTTGATGTACAGTCGGTTTGCCTGGAGACGCAGCTAGCGATTTGTGGAGCATAGCACGCAGGACAAAGCTTCGAAAGAGGCCCTAGCCAATACGGAAAAGTGAGCTAAGAACTTAGCAAAGATGTTTTATGAAGTATCCAATACGGTGTGGATGTGTGATAGCTCTGACACCACTGCGTCCATGCTGGTTTGCTCAAGCCACGAACTAGTCTCCGCAACATGTCGTTCATTCAACCAATGCGACAAGCGCGCATCATGCGGATTTTTGGCAACCGCCTCTCTAGCCCGGCATAAGCCACTAGACGAAGCCACATGATGGGGCTCTGGGCACATAGCAGCTATGGCGAAACAAAAGCCGTTGTAACCAGTGTGGCACAGTTTCAGCTTCACCATGACACACGATGCCGAACTGTGCATCATCCATGGCCTGCTCAGGAAGCATAGCATTATCTTCGTGCGTCAATTGATCTGCTTGCATCTTGAAGCCATGGTGGCCTTGTTGGATGGGAGGCGATTCAGCGACGATTCGCTCTAACATCATCGTTCCGATTCTTCATGTTTAGCAGATGCTGGCCAGTAGTAGTCCTTCTGACGTGCTGCGCTGGGCTGCGACTGACCGTGATGGAGTGTGGAAGTGTTGCCTGGGAGTGCCGGCTTTCAAGCAAGCCTTTTGGTTAGTTTTAAGCTGTGTTCTGACCTTGCCAAGTTGGAAGTTGGGTTGTGCTTCAGGATGCGCTCTCGCTCAGCCGGGAGCTATCCAGGAGTTGCGAGCCGGACATGTTCACCCTGGCTTTGTTCATCCACAAGCCTCCAGATGACTGGAGCAGCGTGCGGCGGTACGTAAAACATGGCGGCATTGTCATTACGGGGCATTTTTCACATGCGGTTTACGCAAACTTGTTCCAAACACATGTTCCGAAAGGGGTCTGGCACGGAAGCTGCCATTCAAGAGGCTTTCCGGAGCAACACAAGTTCAATGAAAGTGATCACTTATGGCGCACATTGGCAGATCACAATGGTCACTCTGAGCCGACTGCATCAGCAGCTGGGTGTGGCCCATCAACATACGAGTGTCTTGGATTCACGGTTCCACAGTTCTACGTTTGTACTGCAGAGAACGATTGCTAGTTTGGCCAAGCTTTGGTAGGGTGCGTGGCAGCTTTGAGGATTGCCCTGCCGGTAAGGTTTCCAGGCGTAGTCGGCCTTGCTGGTTGGACGTCATCTTCCTACAGCTTGTCATATCGCCCCTTGGCAGCGGCTTCTGCTGCCATGTAATTAGAGATGTTTGCGCTTAGTCTGCTGCTGCGACCTAGGTCGTAGGTCGTAGGTTGGTAGGGCTTCAGGATCGCGACCCATTAGAGTGCACGTGCACGGCTCTCCGTCCGCCTGTCTTTTCCAATTGCCCGACTGAGAGATGTACCTTGGAGCGGTGTTGGGGTTTCTGGACTTTTCTGCACAGCACATGCTGCCTAAAGCTCTGGAAGTGAGCGCTGCTTGCTCAGCCACAGCCATTGTTGATTTCGGGGGGCGTGTTGCAGCGGCCGTGCTTGGGGACAAGCTTTGAATCAGATCGCCTGCTTGCGGGTTGCAAGCGGTCAGCGCAGCTTCTAGCGATTCGAGTGACTCGAGTAATTCTCCTAATTAGTCGACGGCTCTCGACGTGCAGCCTTAAAAAAGCTTTCTGTGAAAACAATAGCTGGTGCCTATAGCATGCACGGCACATCCGTGAAGCATCATGCAAGGAATCCTTGGTGCTGGAACCGTTTGGTTCGCGACGTGGGGCTGGGAAGTGTTCGCTGACCAGCGAACGAGGCAGGTCTTGAAGTATATGCTGCTTGGATCGGTCTTGTCAATGTATATGCAAAGAGGACACATCGTGGGAGTTGCACGCACGAGTCAGACTTTATTTCATGTGGGACAGGGGGCGATCTGCTTTGGCTCGTTTTCTTGACAGACGGCACTTAGGTTGAAACACAATCGTGCGCTTATGTCAGATGGAAGCACCGCCTCCTTCGGGGTTTCCCTCGAAGCTCTCGATGTGACGCTAAGACGCAAAGGAGGATCGCCTTCACCGTCGCCGTCGCCGTCGCCTTCACCTTCACCTTCACCACCACCGGTCACAGTGACTGCCACAACAACGACAACAACCACCACAAGCTCCAGCACGTCAAACTCCTCCACATCGACATCTTCCACCACTGCAACAACCACCTCTAGTTTTTCGACGTCCAGCACATCCACCTCCAGCACATCCACTTCGAGCACATCGAGCTCCAGCATGTCCACCTCCAGCACATCCACCTCCAGCACATCCACCTCCAGCACATCCACCTCCAGCACATCCACCTCCAGCACATCCACGTCCAGCACTTCCAGCTCCACCACTTCCACTCTCAGCACTTCCACTACCACCAGTTCCAGTACATCTACTTCCAGCACAACAACTTCTAGCACATCCACTTCGAGCACATCGAGCTCCAGCATGTCCACCTCCAGCACATCCACCTCCACCTCCAGCACATCCACCTCCAGCACATCAAACTCGTCCACATCGACATCTTCCGCAACGGCAACAACTACTTCCACCTTCTCGACGTCCAGCACGTCGAGCACCAGCACCTCTACATCTACCACGTCGAGCTCCAGCATATCGAGCTCCAGCACCACAACAAGTTCTTCAGCATCAACTACAACTCGCTCGACCTCCACATACGCAGGCAGTGATCCCAATATTCTTGCGGGTGAGGCAACGAACAGGGAAGAACAAATGACTGCGCTTCAAGGAGCTGCGATAAACAGTCTGATGAGTGCAGCCAGTAATGTCAACCTCTCAGAGGTAGAAGTGGTGGATGGAGTTGCCACACTACTGGAGGAAGAAGTTCAGACTGCACAAGGCATTACCTTACTGACGAAAGCAATGGTAGTGTTAAATGCAAGCAATGGCTTGCAGGCCACTGTAGGGAGGAGCCGAAGTACCCTGCGGGTGCCACCAGCAACTCTGGAGGGGCTTAAGAACGGCAGTTCACATCTTGCAGTGAGCTTTGGAGTGTTCCCCGATACCACGAACGAATACAAGTCCTTCGAGGCAGGCAGCGAGGCTGTACTGGTGGCCGGCGAGGTCATCAGCATTTTGATTTCCGGTCCCGATGGCAAGATCTTCAAAGGACGCTTGCCCGAGCCGATAGATATCGAACTGAGTACAAAAGCCTTTCACCGAAGAAACGCATGCGCTTTCTGGGATGGGGATGCGGGTGATTGGTCAACATTCGGTCTGACAAAGGTTGGTGTGACGAACCAATCCACGGAATGTCGCACGACGCATTTGTCTGTTTTCACCTTGATCCTCGCGACTTTGACTTGCAGCCAGGCTGCAAGGATCTTTTCTGAGGAAGCTTTGCTCGCTCTCGTGTCTACGCCTTGGGCCTGGCAGCCACCGGCTCTCGTCAACTGGGCGACTATCTTGGTGGGGTGCTGGTTGTTGCGACTAGCATACCGAGCTGATCAGCAGAACCAAGCCCAGATGAAAAGGCTGCAAACCTGGGCGAGAGAATGCCATGAACGTGCCGGCGTCTTACCAGACGTGGCGACGATCTTACGAATGATCCGACAGTGCCGACAGCTTGGGCATCATGGTGTAAGGTCAGCCAAGTCGTTTATCTGTTCCACAGTCATCAACACCAAGTTGGGTGTCGACAACGCATATCTCGACAGTCTGCACAGGGGTATCGGAAAGACTGATGTGCATCGACAAGCACACACAGAGGTGGAAAGCTTTCTTGGCTCGCCTAGGTATCGGCAATTCTCGCTGCTTTTTGCGAGCTCCTGCAGGTGGGTATCTATCTTGGCTCCGTCGTGGCAATTGGCGAGCACGGATCGCTGCCTCTTGTTGCTCGCCAAGGTCTACAGCACCTGGGCTCTCTCGGCCATTTTCTTCGGCAGCACATCGGTGGCTCCAGACCAGGATCCCGACTGCGAACCGCAGGAAGGCTTCTGGCCTATGCTGGTCCAGAGCGTAACCGTCGCCTTCATTGCAGGCGTGTTCGGAGCTTTGCCTCTTGGCTGTCTGGTACTTGTCCAGCAGGCGTGCAGGGCCCAGGTTTCAACAGCAAGAACAACTTTCCGCAGCTTCGTCTTTGCCTACACCTTCACCTGTTGGCTAACCACATGCCTCTTCCTTGCCGCTCGGAATAACATAAGCCGTGTCGCTTCCGGAAGGGGCTATCACCGGGGATGCCAGTCGGAGGGAGTTGAGGCACAGGTTGCCGGGATTGCAGCTTTGGGGGCTGGGCGGTTTAATTGGTCGTTGGATTAATGAGAGTAGCGATACATCAACATGGGAGTAACGATACATCAACATGGGTTAGGCATCTTGAATGATGATGGCCTTCAGGCTCGAGTTTGAGCCTTGCAGTGTAAGATTTCATCTGGCCTACTTCTCTTGAAATGCAAGGTCTGTTCTCGATTGGGCGTGTTTGGGCGAGGAGGGTGATGTGTGCTCATTGCATTCTCTCATCCGGCGCAGCAGCGATGTTTCACTTTGGGTCGCCGTGGGCTTGAGTTCCCAGACCTGGGGCCCCCAAGCTACTGGTAGGCCGCAAACTTGGAGCACTCGCAGCAGGCAAGGCCCGGGGAGCCTGGTCTAGTGCTGGTTCCGTCCTTCCAGACGGGCGATGCTTTGCCCCGAATCCACCACCCGAAAACAGAGGAGATTCTGAAACTTGATGACTGGTGAACTGCGGTGAAGACTTCTTTGAGCATGCTGCACCTGAGGCAGTGGTGAGCTCGACCGATGCGGAGAGATGGGTGATTAGTGCAGTGGCGGACGTTTGTAAGTCGGCCGTGATGATTCCCTTTCTTTTGGCCTCCATATGCGTGCTTTTCTTAGTTTGTCAAGATGCTGAGATCCACATGAGTTGGACGCAGCATCTGAAGATCTTGAGCGAGAAGGCGAAGGCGAAGGTCTGCCTGCAGTCGCTGGACTTCAAGAAGGACGAGCTCTTGCACTTGGGCTTCGAGCGTGTCTGCTCTGTGAAGGTCGAATTCCCCGGCCATGACCGGCCCGCGGTGGACTACGAACCAGGCTTGCTGTTGGAGGAGGTGGATGACGGGCAAACACTTCTCATGACGGCTTTTGCAGAGAAATCCGACAAGACAAAGCCACAGCTCATGGGAACTGCCACTCTGAAAGTCGGATCAGAGCCAAAGTTGGCGTTCAAGCGCCATGGCAAGCCGTTGGATCTCTCAGCAGAGGTGGCTATGACAGTAATTCATGAGGCGGAGGGCCCCACCTGGCACACCCTGCCGCCGACGAGTAGCGATATGTCGCTAGATGGGCCCCCTTTGACTCCGAGAGAAGGTGGGGTTCTAAGATCGGCGACTGAACCTGAGGCACCAGAGGCACCATGCAGCCTCGGAGGCTACGGCCAGAACTTGAACGAAAGTGCAGCCGTGCAGCCCGTGCCACAGACGCCGCAGCCGCACGACCAAACAGCCTCGGACGAGAATCCGGGTCAAGGCGCAGTCCAGCCCTTGCCGAAACTAAGAGTGCCTGTGGACTTGTCGGCAAGGACAAACGAGGGGCCCGCGAGTGTCGCAAGGCAAGACAAGGCCGAGTCGGCAGCTCTCTCACGAGAGTTCACGGATGCGGCCCAATGCGCCGGCCAAAGCGGACCCGTCCAGCCGGTCCAGCTCAGCGCCACCGCCCAAGACCAAGAGCCTCGGGTCGAATCCTCGCCGACCGCGCCGGGCGAGAGTGCGCTGCAAGATGTGGGCGTAATGATGGTGCCTTGCCCTCAGCCTGCCAGTTCACCGAGACCATTGGGGCAAAGTCCCCGGACTCGCGCCCCCAGATTATCACCTAGGGCTGTGCAGGCTCCACGACCACAGACCGCTCTCTAGCCTAGGAGTGCCCGGCTGGCAGCCTCATCATGGATCATCATGCCCTTTTGCTGGGAAGAGCATTTTTGGGAAGTCGAGCGGTCCGAACATCCGAGACTTTCCGCGCGTTGCAAGCGTGCAAACTGGGTGCCACTTGGTATTTTCAAGCTTTTTCGTGAGCCTGGCTCCATTTGTGTCCTGCCAGTCCTCGTTTGCAGAATCCCAGAGCTGTGCATATGCCTCAGCCGACGATAGCAAGCCAAAGGGCTGTGTGATCCGTAAGCGACTCCCGCAGCCTTCTGCCTGCGGGCTTGAGAAGGCGAGAGAGACTACTGAGCATAATTCTCAGAATTCCAGACCAATGCTGCGGCTGCGGTGGTTGCAGTCCGTTCGTTCTTCGTCAGCATTCCTGCGAAGCGAGGAGTGATTATTACCACATTCCGAGAACGCGGAAGCAAAAATCCTGCAGGAGGCTCTTGCCGTGAGAAAGAGAAGGCAGAAGAGAGAGAGAGAGAGAGAGAGAGAGAGAAAGATAGGGAGAGCCTGTTCTACTTTCACCTCCCCAGCCCACGTGCTCCACGAACACAGGGGGGACCAAGTGGCCAGGGCGCCTCACCAGCTCCCTATGCCCGGTGGAAGAAGAAGAAGCCGGTTCTACTGCTGCTCCTGCTCAGTGCCACTCAGAAGGTTGCTTATTCTATGAGTGTTGGGGTCTTCGTCGAGGCCTGACTCGAGCGCAGAGGTCTGTCTGGTTCTGTTGTGTTTACTTGTTGTGCATATTGCCTGTTTTGGCTTGGGCAGTGACACCCCGAAAGATACTCCAGGGGAGGCAAGTTCACGCTTCTGCGACAAAAGTCTGTGTTGGCATTACATCAACTTGTGGCTCCCTAGTGCTCTCCACGTCTATCCACCAGGGTTTAGCTGGGCAGAGTTCTCCTGGCACATGTCCTGACAAGCAAGCCGTATATTATATATATATATATATATATATGTATTATACACACACACACACATATATATATATATATATATAAATATACATATATATATACATTGTATATATTATTTATATTATTTGTATTATATATTATATATTATATATTATGTATTATATATTATATATTATATAGTATATATTATATATTATATATAATATAATATTGTATCGGGACGTCTGCCAATTGATCCATGGAGCGGCTGCCAGGTCCAGGGTGCGGAGCTTCCCCCTTGTCTGAACCACCGAAGGCAACGACAAGCACAAAAACATATACACATATACAGCTGGAACCGTGGAAATTATACACCAGAGACGTCTGAGGAGATGCGAGGATGCCACAAGACAAGTTTACGACAGAACAGGACAATTATGACCGCACGACAGCTAAAACCAGTTCAAAGACAGCCAGAATGACCACATACTTCCGCGAAGACGCCAGCGTATGCAGACTGCTGAAGCGAGACTAGAGGTTGATGGTGTCTGTTCAGGCTAGAATCTAGAAGCGACTCAACGTGCTGCATTATTTCCCTTCAATGGCTCCAAGATGTACCGGTTGCGCGACCCGTCTAAGCTGAAGTTTACATAAGGGAGGTTAAGACCTACCACATCCTATTTTCAAAACGCGAGCGAGAGTACGTCAGATGAGTTCCATGAGTGCAGCCTTGTTGCCACTCGGTGAGATGCTTCTCGGAAGAGCCGGGCATGGACGTTCAGCAAGTGTGAGCGAGAGCGAGAAGACAAATTGCAGCCGTTCGGCTCACAGCTTTTGAATAACTGTGGCTTGTGCAGACCATGGTGACACCAGCTGCAACAGAACAGGACCAATGTTAGATCAAACAAGCGAAGGGAAATGTGGCGCTTTGAACCCATGGCCCTGCGCTGTTGGATTTTTGTCAACTTCTTCGCACATCTGGATAGCAAGCCCATTGCCGTCGTTTATGAAGCGTGGCACGGCTTGCAAACAAGTCTTGTGGGCGCGCATTCTCGAAGCATTGGCAGGTAAGTCCCGAAAGTGAGAAGTGTGGCAGATCTCCTGAAGCACTGTTTCAGGTCGGCGGCGTATTTGGCAGACCTGGCAGACAGCGCATCAGGTTCAAAGGCTGGGCTGTTTGAAAACGACAGGAAGAGTTGGAAAAGCTGCATGTAGCGTGTTGAAGCACTTTTTGAGGCTGCTGTGGGAGGTTGCTTTTGAATTTGCTTTTGCAGGTGGAGTTCTGGCCATGCACGGCATCTTGCAACCCTCCCTTCGGCCGGAGGCATGTCGTTTCCCTCATTCGACACCTACTTGCCGTGCAAATTATTGAACTTCGGCTGCCCTGAGGGACGATGTGATTGCGGCTGTGGGTATGCCGCGGAACTTCTCGAACTTGCAAGACTTCCGGAACTTGAAGCTAATCCAGAGTACATCCTACATGCACCTGGGATGTGGTGTAAAGCGACACGAAGCACCTGACATGTAAGATTTTCAGGTATCCGCGTTTGTCAGCGATGCCAGCTAGTCCAGCTGTCGCCAAATACGACGTGGCTTTGCTGCGTTTCGAGTGAGCAGCTTCTCTTCCCGTGTGATCGCGGCCGACTAGAGCACACCGTGGACCATGACTGCAAGCAGGATTTGGCAAAGGGGTCGGGGCACGTTAAGCATTTCGAGCAATCGCCAACTTAAAGGAAAATTGTTGAAGTCATGGCTTCATCACCTTGCAGCCTGCGGCGGGGACACACATATTGGTGAGATCAGTAGTAAGCTCAATGCCGAAGCTGGGTTTCGTTAGCCTGCACCATCGAATGACCAGACTAAATTCGATTCCTTGCAACCGTTGTAGCTCTGCTTCTTCCGCAGCGCCGTAACTTTTCAGGAATGAGCTCTTCGCACGGACCAGCCCCTGAAACGTGCAGCTACAACTTGGTACGCCTTGCATCTTGTGTGGAAATTAGCATCTTTAGAACCGAGAGGTTTGACGGGAAACCGTTGAACGAAACAGGTCTGAACAAAACGAAATGGCAAAGATTGACTTGCGATTTTGCAAGTTGTTGAAATATGAGCTGGTGCTTGCAATCAGCATGGGCAGACTCGCGAATCGGTCGAGGCTGAGGACCAAGCTAACGAGCCGTGACATCGGCTTTTCTTCGGGTTTAACATGCATGCATGACACCTCACGGCCTCAGTTCCGCGACCGCTTGAAACGTTTTTTTGGTCAACCCCCCCCTTGTGTGCTAGTGGCATGGCAAGACTGGCGTGCCGGTCGCATTTCTTCGTTCGTTGAGACAACTTTGACTAGTTACTAGTCCTGTCCCACGCCCCACGCAGCTTGTTGCGCGCGTGTGCTAGGCCCCATGGAAAGCCTATGGGGTGGAACCCATCGCCGAATTTGTCATCGCAGCTGCCTTCCAATGGAAACATGAACCGCACTGACGTTCAACATCTGCACAAGTTGTTTGCATGCAGTGCAGTAGAGAGGGTAGAGTGCAGACGATGGGCTTGCTGCTGAGGACATACAAGCTCGTCGAAGTCTCTTCCAGATTCGCCGCTTGTGGCTTTGGTCCAGGGGCACCCGGTGGTTGTGCTCCGGACAGCGTGCTGACTTCCCATCCGACATTAATGAGCAAGTCGACGCTCGTGAACAATTTTCTTCCGAGGGCAATGTGGGGTGAGTCGACATGCGAAGAAAGGATGGGGGACGTGTTCGTATGCATACTCGGTGACGGAGGATTGGCATCATTGGCTATGGCACCATCGGTGAGGCACCCGTTGCTCGTGGTCGACATCTTGTGCTGAGAATTGGTGCGTTGTCATCCACGGATCTTGCCAGGCTGTGGCCAGACGAGCATTTGCCTTAGGCCCAGTGGGCTCAGCTCAAGCTGAAGGAAATGCTGTTTTGCTGCTGTTTTGTCAGATCTCTGCTGTATGCTGTTGTATGCCTCTGCCGGAGGATGCATGGGTGATGATGTGCAGGTATGCGTGTGTTGGCATCGCGACGGCACGGTCCTTTCTCGTCTAGGGCTCAGGTGATGCCGGCATGCAGCACGGCTTGCAAGTTGGATTGCGCACCTCTTGCACAAAGCATATCGTGCTTCTTCGTGCTTGGTTCATGATGCTTCATGTGTTTCCGGTCGCGACGGTGAGTTGGCTGGTTTTCGTTTCAGAGTGGGTCCGTGCCATGGGAAGGGTGCATGATGGAGGTCGGGGGGGGACAACACCCAGCTGTTTTTTGCGAGAAGTCTCAGGTGAGTGCGACATGTGCAAGGTGAGGCGTAGGCCAGCTACTAGCATTCGCATGTTGTGCGGTTTACAGTCAGGGCTTGGATTCGGACAGTGTCTTGCAGGAATCAAACAAAGAGGCAGGTCCTAAGCATGGTGCTTTCAGCTTCCGTCGGATACCACGGCCTCTGCATGATGTTGTCGTGCTCTTGCAATCGCCCTTTTGGTGCTGGGCACCTGTCGCCTCGCTTCGAGCCTGGCCGAGACGGCGATCGAGCATGATCGATACATGTTCTGTCGTGCTGCTTTTGCGGTCTTTGCGACGATTACGACTGCTCTTCCCGGCTTGTGAGTGGGCTCGTGATTTGTCTTGCGACTCCTGGTAGTGCCATGCATCAGGTTGCACTTGAATTCGACATTGCATGTGTCTCGTGAGTACTGCAATTTGGCTGTTTTTGAGTTGGGGTGCTGGTGGCACTCGAACTGTGAGGTCTTGGCTGACCAGCGACAATGACAGGGTGCTGTCAGAGTGCGATTTCATTGCAGTGACTGTTCCAGGTCGGCCGGCCGTGTGCTTCTTTCGGAGATTTGTTAATTTAGGGTTCGAGTATATGTAAATGCTGTAAGTGTAGATTTGAAGTATACTTTAAGTTAATGCCTGAGGGATGAGCCGGGGCGCTGATGTCATAGTTGAGGTTGCGTGAAGTTCAGTTGATCGCAGCTGGCCAGTTCTGTGTTCTTGCCGGAAACTCTGCTCGAGAGGTTCTGTCGTGGGGCTGATCAACAAGACGGCATTAGCACTGATGAAGCCCGGTGCAGTGCTGATCC